CCTCTAGCCTCTCGTTGACGCCACGTCGTGTCTCGTCAATTAGGACTATGTCATCAGCAAATAACATGCACCATGACACCTCCCCTTTAATATGATGCGTTATAGCATCCATCACCAAGGCAAATAGGAAAAGGCTGAACGCAGACCCTTGATGCAACCCCGTAACAACCGGAAAATGACCGGAGTCGCCTCCTACTGTCCTAATTCGAGTCTTAGCTCCATCATACATGTTTTTAATCACCCTAATATAGTCAACTGAGACCCCTTTAATCTCTAGGCATCTCCATAGGACCTCCCTAAGAACCCTGTCGTACGCTTTCTCTAGATCAATAAACACCATGTGGAGATCCTTTTTCTTATCCCTGTATTGTTTTATCATCCTTCTAATAAGGTGGATAGCTTTTGTGGTAGATCGATCTGGCATGAACCCGAACTAGTTATCGAAATGGACACCGTCCTTCGCACTCTCATTTCTACCACTCTCTCCCAGACTTTCATGGTGTGACTCAGTAATTTGATACCCCTATAGTTGTTACAGCTCTGAACATCGCCTTTTTTCTTATACAACAGAACCATTGTACTCCACCTCTGTACAACGAAACTACAAGACATTGGATAGACAAAAAAGGAAAAATGACATTGTATAACCGCTGTAAAAATAACAGTCAAAAATATATATAAAATTTATATATTTTTTGTATATATATATATATACATTTTGTATGTTATATACAAAAAGTATACACTTTTTTGGCCACCAGATGTAATTAGTTTCTGGCGCGGGCTAAAAGTAATAATACCCCGACAAAAATATACTCTGTTTGACAAAACATTACAAAGAGGATGTTAAAAGGATATTTTTGAATTGCCAAAGTTATCACAAGCTCGACTTTCTGATCATACACAATTAAAAAAAGATAAAGTTATTGTCTGAAAACAATCTAACAGAGAGATGCATGTCATAGACACACCCTAAGTTAAAAGATATGCTCAAAAGCTTCTCAATGTATATTACACATGACTTCTGCCCTATGTAAAAATAAAATATTAAGTTCAAGAGATATGCTTTTAATTTTATTGTAAGCTTAATTTAATTATAATTTTTATTTGATAAATAAATTATCTTTACATTAACGACAAGACCCACTGACACAGAATAAAAAAAAATATATGAAATCAGCTAAACATAGAGGACTAAATATGTTCCATCATTTAAGTTGCCTTATACTATTTGATGAATATAGTCAACTTTGTAGCCTTTTGAAAACACTTAAAAAATTTCTAAATTGTATAAATATGGGGTAACCTTTAAGAATGGACACAAACAATTAAACCAAGATATACATTTAAACACGATAGTCATTGGGCCGGGCTTATCCCGGACTCACTAGTCTGTTATATAAAATACATTTGTATTTTAAAGTTCCCTTGTAACTAGTGTTTAGTAAAATGTCGTTATATGAAACTGATAGAAAAAATGATTATTTAACTAAGGTGAAAATAGTGTCGCCGACGAACAATAACTTTATTTATCATTTGGGTCAAAATCCGTGGGAAACTCGCGGCCACGTAGAAGAACCTGCCGGCAAATTAATAGAATACCGCTCATGGGACCCACTACAGGCCACGTAAGCGGGGCTCTAGTAATTTCTACTTATTATTTATTTGGCAATTAGGAAAATAACACAAGCAGAAAGGAAATATCTAACAAAGATTATGAAGGAGAGTTTTAAGAAAAAGTGCTTCATTTTCTTTGAGAAGTTTTATTTTGTGTCTCATACAACTTACACTAATTATACGAGACTCATTTTTGTCTCATAAATATGTGGACTCCAATCTTATATTTCTGGGTTCACAAAAATCTTGGTCAATAAAATTGTGAGACAAAAAAGTTGCCTCATAAAACTAGTGTCAGTTGTATAAGACACAAAACAAAATTTTCCATTTTGTTTGCTTGTTTTGGAAATTTGAATAGAAAATGAAAAGAAAGAAAATCTGTATATCTTTTTTCTTATTCACATTTAATATATGGATAAACTAAACCAAAATTGAGATAAAATCTAGATTTGATATTGGGTTTCATTTCATAAAAATAAAATAAAAAATGGTTTATTAAAGGTGGATTAATATATATAACATTCCAAGTCAATTAGAGAATTAAAGTCTCTTTCAATAGATCTCTTCTGCTACTTCCGTGACACTCACAAAGAAGCGGGGTATTTGTATCTATACTCGTTTTTTGTGTCACATTTTAACTTGTGCCCGCTTTACAAAAAAAATTGCAAGCATATCCGTTTTTTCGCATAACTTCAGGACACGGGGCTGAAGTAGCAAAGACAATCACGCAAAACTTCAGCATTCTAGTAGCCGGGCCTGAAGTTCAGCTCTAGAGCTGAGGTTTTTGTTTTGTAACTGACGAACTTCAGCTCTAGAGCTGAAGTTTTTGTGTTGTAACTGGGAAACTTCAGCTCTAGAGCTGAAGTTTTTGTGTTGTAACTGGGAAACTTCAGCTCTAGAGCTGAAGTTTTTTTCTTTGTAACTGGCGAACTTTTTGTTTTCGTAGCTTATCCATCTTCTTTTAAACTTCTTGTTTTTCTGAGAAAGAGCTGTTAAATGTTAATGGCGATGCTGAGGAACAATTCAAAAAGAGCAGTGAGCAGCAAACAACAAGGTCTTATGGCTGACAACACTACTTCATTTCCAATATCTCCCACCAAAAATCATACAAGCCCACCCATTTCTCCAAGAATTTTCAATGGATTTTTCACCAGAAGCTTATCTGATGTAGTTGAAGCTGGAATTGATAGCCCAAAATCCATTCTTGACGGCAAACAAATGTTCACTTTTGGCAACCCTTTTGGCTATGATAGAAACAACGGAAATCCATTCACTTATATGGACAGAAAGCAGCCAACTTTATTAGTAGATGATAAGTTGAAATCAGAAGGTATTAAACTTGCTCTTCTTTTGAGTGAGGAAATGGTTCTGTTTGGAACAACGCTTAAAGTTCAAAGTCCTGCTTCCCCTACTGATTTTAGTATCAAGACTCGGGATTGTTAGCTCTTAGCTTCTACATTAAAAGAAATAGAAAACGAAGGAGGAGAAAGGGGGCTAAAATTATTTAAAAAGTGGGTACAAGTTAAAAATTTTTAAAAAAATGGGTATAGGTTAAATGGAGGCGATCAAATAGGGCGCCCGTGCAATTTTTACCAAAGGAGCAGCCTAAGGTAAAATAAGCCCAAAAACAAGACCCCCTAAAACCTCTATTTGTTTATGAACAAATATAATATATCTTTTTTCCGTAAAAAAAGAAAGGTTGTCCAAGCAAGCGAAATCAGCATACGCAATTTGTTGGGCGATTAATTCTATTATATCTGATCGATAAGATTTGGTTGTATAATTTAACAACTGATAATTTTAAATTGGATAATGTAGAGTTGAACTTAGCAATAAAACTGTCTTGTGAACAATAATTTAGCCAGGTCACTAGGCCAGCTATTTTTTATGTTCTAAAACTGGATCCTAGTAAGATACTTGAGATCCAAAAATATGAGAAAGTAGTGTCATCCAATCTAGTTCAAAAGATACTGGAAAACTCAAGTATCTGTGGAGATCATTGAATTGATCAAACCTGCTAGTTGTTACAGTACTTGGAAACAATTACTTCTTAAATGTACTTATTTATGCATAGAGGCGAACCCAGGATTTAGACCCTATGGGTTCAACTTTCAAAAATTTTAGCATTAAACCCATCATATTTTTAGTTATGGGTTCATATATACTATTTTTACAATTTTAACGAATTTTTACATATAAAATTTTACTCCGCGTTAAAAGTATGGGTTCAATTGAACCCGCCCGATATATGCTAGATCCGCCCCCGGATATGCACTGTATCTTTACAACTGTATTAATGTGTGATGTTTATTACTAGTACTCTTTTATTTTCCATTTTTGCTAAAGTACATCTGCACATGTTCATATTAGATCTTAGGAGTAGACTGATACAATGGTGGGATTCCCAGGATATTTTGTGTGATGGAATATCTCACGGGATTAGTTATTCCACCTTTTATATGTGATAGCTGATCCCACACTTTTAGTATAAAAGTGATCCCAGAATTAGCTAATACCCCAACCAAATATGAGATAAAATTAGTCCCCAACTTTATCCGGTGATTATTATTCTTATCTCATGTACCAAACGATCCCTTAGTGGTGTAAGGTCTTTTAAAGAAAATCCTGCATGCTTAACCTAAAACGAATAATATCACACTATGGTAAAAATATTTTTAAGGCTTTGGGCTAACTTAGCACCACAAAATTAGCAAGAAATTCTAGTATTAGTTAGCCGGGTTGGCTACTTTTTTGGGCCGACTATTAGAGTATAACCATATTTTAAGTTATCATGGCAAAGTAGGTTAAATTGATATTTTTGCCCCCAAGTAAAACACGGAACACAAGTCTAGCAATGAGTTCGAAGCTTTGACAAGTGGAACCCCAATAAACTATGTTGAAATTCAAAGATTTATTGAATTTTAAAACCCAAGAATGATTCCTAATTTTTGAACCTTTAGTACTAGTGAAAAATTCAAGAACGATTCCTAGTTTTTGAACCTTTACGAATGTAAAATCCAAGAATGATTCCTGATTTTTAAATTCATATTGTAATTCAGCAATTTTAAATATTAACTAGTGAAAATCTAAAAATTCACTAATGATTCTTGGTTTTTGAATCTTTATAAGTGCAAAATTCATGAACAATTCCTGGCTTTTGAATTTATATTATACTTCAGCAATTTTAAACCTTTACTAGTGCAAAATTTAATATTCAGGATAAATTACTTGTTATACCCCATGTTTTCGTATGTAACGTCTTAAGTCAATTGATGTAAGTTTAGAAATGAGATCATCTTTGAAAGTACATAAAGTAAGTTAATCATTTTACCATGGAGGTTACAAATATTTAAGATCATGAATACCAAGTACCAAGAGGGTTGGAAGGCTTAAAAGCTAAATGAATTGAAGAAAATAAGTTTCGTCGAAAGTCGACAAGTTGGGAATGTTATAACATGTACTTTTAGGGTGAGAATAGGGTGCTTAAAATTATAAGGAGATTATGTTATGAGTTATTTAATCGTATGATTGACGTGTGTTATGTTTTGAAGTCAAGCGAGTTGTGGAACAAAAGTCGGAAAAGGTCATCACAAGTTACATTCATAAATGTGTTGAAACTTAGGTCAAATGTAGCTGAGCTTTTCTCCCAATGTACTTGGAATTAGGGGATTATGTACCTACTAAATTGAATATCTATGAGTCTAGTTTCTAACGCATTAAACCGTTTGTCGATACGAAATAAGAGTAGAGAGATATTTGCAATTTCGCGAGATTATACAGACTGCATAGGTGACAAGTAGGTGTGTCACTAAAGCTTTTTGAGCAATACATTTCGTATGTTATATGAGATCTTTTTGGGATATATTATATAGCAAATTGAAGGTATTGGGATGTAGTTTCTAACACTCTTAACCGTTCATTCATAAGACATTCCGATAAAAAGATATNATATATATATATACTTTTTCCTCATTTTTCATAGAACACGACTAGAGAACCCCCAAAATCTTACCTTAAGCTCTCTACAAGGGTTCCAAAGAAGATTAACATCCCCGGGTATGAAATTAATAAGCGATAACACTAGAACGATCCTTACGATATAAGTATCGCTATATCGCCTCTCTTTTTCTTTGTAGTTTGAGTGTTGGAAGGTACTTCATAGTTAAGAAAATGCCTACTTTTTGTATTTAAGCTTTTAAATGTCAGAGAAGGTTGATGAATTTATTTTCTAATAGTTAGAATTTACGAGTCGGTGATCGGAAGCTGTGAGTTCGATTTATTTCACTTTTAGTGGACTGTTTTGTAGTCCACTCATGTTGGCCTCTTGTGTTGATGTTTTATGAAGTTTTGGAGAAGAAAAGGTGTGGAGAAACACCACATAATAATGGAATGGTGAGCTGGTCGTTCGTCGTTATATTTTTTAGGTTGTTTGGCACTACTTTAGTTATCGTTTTATATATGAAGTGATTAAGGTGTGTAGGTTATTTTGTGGTATATTGTGATGAAGATAAGGTTGGAAAATGATGTATACATGTTGTTAGTGCTGTATTCTTGTTGTTGTTGGTATATGGTAGTGGAGGAGGGCTTTGTTACAGGAGAGATACTGCCTTTACGTAAACGAGCGAGTAGTTTAAGTTGCGGACTTAGCCTTTACTCACTATGCACTGATTTTGAATCTCCTTATGCTGTGGTAGATTGAGTTGAGTTTTTTGAAGGATTTCTTGGACGGTATTAAGGACTCGACGGAGTTAAGGTATGTTAAGGCTAAATTTTTTCTTCATTTTAGCATGATCAAGTAACTACATGTGTTTGATAACGAGACATAAAGAGAAGTTCATATTCCTGAATTTATGTATATTTTCCTAGTCTCATAAGTTACAACATTCTCCCTTATCGGGACTTCATATTCAGTTTAGTTTTATCTTCATTCAGCCAAGAGAGTAGAGAGTCTATATATATATATATATATACACACACACACACACTATTATTATATTTTCACCACCATCGAGCTATAATCGAGGGGCAGGCCCCTATTGGGCAACCTCTGATCAGATGGTAAGTTATATAATGAGCCTACTGTGGTCGAGCACCTATGAGCAAGCCCAAAATGGCCGAGATACAGAGCCTAGTATGGCTGAGCGCCTATGAGCGAGCCTACTACGGCAAAGCAGTTACACATACCGAGCCTTATAGGGCCGAACAATTATTTTACTTATTATATTGAGAGAGATGAGTCAGTATCAGCAGGTAAACATATTTTCAAATTATATTTGACTCCCGCAAGTACTTTCAGTTATTATATTATCAGTTCAGTTTCAACTTTCAGTTATTCTGTTGCCTTACATACTCGGTACATATTTCGTACTGATGTCCATTTTGCTGGGGACGCTGCATTTCATACCTGCAGGTCCTGATAGACAACTGGATAGACCTTCCTAGTAGACAAAGTCAAACATTAGCTTGGTTGGTAAGCTCCATTTCCTCGGAGTTACCAGGTCTATACCTTGGAGTCCATTTTATATATACAGGTTTGATGTATAGGTCGAGGCCCTATCCCGATCATGATACAATTCAGTTATCCCTAGAGGCTTGTAGATGAGTCTTGTACATTTTTTATATCAGTATTGTGGCTTTACCAGCCCTATGTAGATGTTTAGTTTGGTATTGCTGGTTGTAGACATTATTTTCAGATGATTTAGAATATGGCCTCATCGGCCTAAGTTGAGGGTTAACCCTCCAGAGTTTAGAGTTACAGAGTAGTACGCTTGGGTCAAGTATGGCACCGGGTGCCTACTACGCCTTTTCAGGTTTGGGGCGTGACATTACTAATTTTCAACAATTACTAGTACAAAATTCAGAAAAATCAGCATCAATTTATGGCCTTTGAATTCACATTATATTTTAGCAATTTTTACCTTTAAATACAAATTCAGGACATATTACTGGTGTTTGAAATTTTACTAGTGTAAAATTCAGGTTAATTCGGGAATGATTCATAGTTTTTGAATTTACGTTATAATTCAACAATTGAGAGCTACTACTTCAAGTCATTCAAACTCCAAGAATAATTCCTGGATTTTAAATTAAAAATATTCAAAGTCTGGTAGTCACTTCTAGAGTTCTTCCGTATTTTAGATAAGGGTATTTTTGTCTAGACTTGTATTTCTGCATTATTGAGTGGCTACTTTGCCATGACAATTTTAAATACGGCTAAACTCTAATAGCTAACCTAAAAAGTGGCTATATAGCAATTTCTCACGAAATTATACACGGTGGATCTCTTTAAGACCATTGTTTATATTATGATCCCACTAAAAAAACATTAGCTTTCCGTCGAACTTCTCTTTCTTCTGCATCTTCTACTTCGTTCTTCTTCCTTCAACAAATAATGAGCATACGGCTAAACTTAAACATAATGAAAGGTTAAAATTAAGTAGGTA